GCATGTGCCGGATATTAGCATGTCCCAATTCAGCAAACGTTTGTACGAGTAATTCGGCAGCGCCGGATCTCGCAGACGCAGACCGTACGTGGAATTCTCGCGAGACGTACAATTTGTTCTATAAACATTGGCGTAAAACGTCAGGTAAAAATTCGAAAGAACCTCCGAGAGTCTGTTTTTTGTGCGAGAATGGGGTTCAATTCTGAACTCTGCTCTCCAAAATATCGATAAATTTACGCTCGGTTTACCTAATGCGCCTGAAATTACCTCATTTCGACGCGGTTTAACGATTTAACGTTTCTAACGTGAACGTGAATATATACGGGCCAACGGTTGGTTCCGCTTTAGCTTTGCTCTTAATCGCCTCTTATACGTATCTAAGAAGGCTTAGACGGGAACGATCGTCCTTACACCATAATAGGATATCAACAATGAAGATCATTTCGCGCCCGATTAGCAATCTCGATTAGAGAGATCGACAGCCAACTGCCACTGCACAATCGCAAGTTGTATACCATTACTGTCGAATCTACTACGATTACTATACTGATTACAACACCATATCGCCATTACTGACACTACTGATACTGCTAATATTACTAACGTTACTACTTGTACCAGTACACTACGCCTAGACTGTGTCTTGGGTCGTTGAGGAAAATTTTCATTAAATTAAACTCAAATTTTCATTGAGTTGACTCATCAATCCCATATAAATTTACTAAATATTCTATTTTTTATCATCTCTGATTGAAATCGAAAGAATCTTTTTTTGACTCTGTTAAATTTTAGCATATGAAAATTTTTTTTCCTGACGACCTGACGAATGCAGCTCATGCGACTATAACGCGAATTCTATAATTCAGGCCCGTTTTTTACTCTGTGCGTCACTACATGTCTCACCACCGACATTATTAAGAAATCTAACGTTATATATAGAAGAAATTCTCACGGCATACATTGTCGGTCACAACATATACATGACGTGAAAATGTGCCTCCAGCAATGAATCAGTCATCGCTGCTGCTGCTGCTGCTGCTATCGCTGCTGCTATTTGCCAGCGTTGACGCGAAACGGCTCGTACACGATCCAACAATCTGCGCGGATTGTTGTCGCAAACGGACATCATCATTGCATAAACAGACCATTACATTAACTTTGCATCTTAATACAGATATTTTTATTAACGTATATCGATATTTTGACAGCCTTTACCTCTTATGTATGTATCTCTATCTTGATACCGATCTTTAGACCCCTTTCGTCTGATGTTGATCTTCTATCTTAATTAGGTATCTTACCCTGTAATTTTTCCATAATTTTTCTTTCTTGTCGCGCAGACTGTTGGACCGCTTGTAGGAACCGCTTAACGAGATCCGATTGCTCTCGTGTATAATGAACAGCTGTTGTTCGGATGGTGTATTCCATCGTAATCGTTTCCGTTTTTTTTTTACTTTTTTTTCTGTGTAAACCGATTTCACACTCACACATTCACCCTTCCCATTTCGCTCCCTTTCTTTCTCACTCTTTCTATAGAAGATCGCAAATACTTTCTGCTATCCATACGACACGCTAAATGCGTTCGCGTGCAGCGAAATACAATAATAACATCTGACACGTGGAAATGATTTTATCATGCATTCGAATTTTCCTCCTCGCGGCCCTTCATATCCTTTCTCAAATGTGGTGAAATTTTAAAGCGTGCCAAGCACACTCTCACCTATCGAACGCTGTTATCGCGTCTGCTTTCGTATACGGGACGTATCGGAATAATTGGGACAGTCCCACGAATTAGGCATCGCGACAGTTTTCGATATTCACAAGTGCACATTATCGTATTTCATTCAGTACTCTCTAAATTCTTTGGAGTGGAATATTATTCTACACTGAGAGAAAAATGTTTTGTATTTGTAACTATAATTATATATTACTATAATTATAATTATTACTGCTATAATAATAATAACAGTAACTATGTACATAGTTCTATCAACAAATGTATATTATAGTTGGCAACTAAAATGACTATATAATTATAGTTATTATAACCATAAAATAGTTAAAATTACCGTAAAAATTATAGTCACTTGAATCATTTTTATGGTAATTTCAACTCTATTTTATGGTTATAATAACAATAATTATAGTCATTTTAGGTTGCCAACTATATACATTTGTTGCTAAAACTATATACATATAGTTACTGTTATTATTATTATAGCAGTAATAATTATAATTATAGTAATATGTAATTACAAATACCAAACATTTTTCTCTCAGTGTAGAGAATAAAAATTGAGCCACTCCTGAAAAGGTGTAGCTCAATTTTCAATCTTCAGAGAGTGACAATTCCTTCTAAAAGGTTTAGAGAATAGACAATTAATAGTAAGTAATAATCTACGTTATAATTTATGTAATTAACTTACTGTAGTGTGACAAGGCAAATTATATCGAGATAATATTGTTACGTGAAACCATAATAATCATCATCGTCATAATTCTCGACCGGCAATAGCCGTCATCAATTAAACGATCGATTTACCATAAAGTGATTCGCCATAAAGCGGTTATGAGCGAATATTGATTTCAGCATCACTTTCGTCATCTGCTTCGTTAATCATTGAAAGTGTCGCGATGTTGCACTCGTGTCGCAATTAGCCCGATCGATCCACACTTCACAAGATACACGCTGTAATTCTTTGGACTGTGTACTTATCTCTTTACTGTATTTTGTATACTGTAGCCATTCGCGAAGCTTACAGCTGTGTCGCTTTCAGTCTACGTGTAAAATATACATATATATATTTTTTTTGTTCAATATATATGTAACTACATACATATATATTTCTCTTTATGTATGTACATATTAACATGTATCTGTCTATCTAGTGTACATATCAAGAAAGTATATAACCCGTAATTCTCGTAAACGCTTGTGACAGTAGATATCTGTCTGTCTGTCGTAACTTATATATATTTTATTCCACTCCTCTCTTTTTTAACCTAATATCTTCTCTCACTTCCCTTCTTTCTGTCTGTCTGCCTTCCGTTTCTCTGTATCTCTCCTTGTTTATTTTTCCTCTTTTTCTTGTTGCAATCTGTGCATCAAACGTGCAACTTATACTTTCTGTCGGCCGTCGTCTTACCAAAGTTGATACTGTCCCCGCTTTGACTTCGAGTCGCTGGCCGAAATGTAATGTGCGCGGTGTATATACGTTATCAGGAAGGACTATATGTGTATTATTATATATAGATATAACGTTTGTGTGTGAGAATCGAGAATCGGTCGTCCAATTGAGCTCGGAACGAAGTAGATTAACAAGAAAGCGAAACGTCGCAAAGAAACTCCGCTCGGCGCGATCACGCTAATCACCGATTAGTACGGCGAGAGTAATTAAGTGATCATCGCCATCGTCGTCGTCGTCGTCATTGTCGTCGTCGTCATTGTAGTCGTCGTCTTGGTTGCTATCGTTATCATCTCTCTTCATCATTTCTGGCCGGTTTAATGTATATTCGCCTAAATACGCGTTTGACTCTCAAGAGACGCACCGACGACAGTCGCTTGAACTTATAATTGACATGACGACCTTAAAAAGATCACGAGGAAGCATGAAAATTATTAGATTAACCCCGAAAAATCTTGAAGTTTCCTTCAACAGTCAATCACTTTCTCACGTTTAAACTTGCTTTGCAATTCCCCTCGAAAGATCATCCTGGGAAATTACCTCGGGGAAATAAGCAAAGAGCAATCTCTGATTTAATCTAATAATGTTCACTCCTATTTCTTATCCACGAAGAAAACTTCCTTCCTCTCCCCCGGGAAGTGGGGACTATAGTTCACCGATAATCAATATCTCTTTCTTTGTCAACGTCGCCGACGCATCTCGCCCATTTACGCTCCATTAGATCGTCTCGTCATCAGTCATTACTCTTAATATCGTCGACGTCGTGTCCATCATCGTTGTTATCTCTCTATTCTTGCTGTAACTTCTATTGTAAGCGCTAAATGCAGAAACCGGTTGCAGTCGTGGCTGATTGATCGCGATTGTAATGCGAGGGAAATTCGATTAGAACCGATTATTGAGAAATTGGGATGGTTTCATGCCAGGTCATCTCAGTTCTTAAATCGAGCCCTTTTTTTTGGGAACTCAACTTATTCGAATAATTGCCGTCAGTGATTCCATGTTTTTTAGGAAATTTTATTATTAACCTTCAACTATATTGAAAAATACTCCTAAATTTGAAAACGTCCTGTTTGAAGTACAGAATGCAAGTGAACCTCCGCCTTACGGCAATTGATAAAGGAAAGTTCAAAATTATTTTACTTGCAATTTAAAACCTCAATCATACAAATTATACAATTGTCCAAAAATATTGGTTTGGGTCCACATGACTTGTTCTTGTAGTGGAGGGTTAATATAAAAGTAAGTAATTTAACTAAAATGACTGCATGACTGCAATTGACCTATGAAGAGGTGGGTGAGGTGATTATGGTTACATCGTTGCGATTAGGATCATGTACGTATCTCAGAGACATTGACACGATGAGCTGCCTCTGGATCGCTATTTCGGTTATCATCGTTCTTATTAACCTTCTTACTATTTTTAACACATTATTATTATTTATTATTATTATTATAATTACTTATTATTACTTATTTGTTCGACTTCAATGAACATATTATTATCTGTTCGTTACGCGCGGCACGTTCTATCGAGGAGAGCGCGATTTTTTCTTTTCTTTTTTTTATATTGATAAACGCAACTTGCGATACAATTGCAACAAACGATTGGTCTCGTAATAGCATTATTATTTTACGAACGATAACGTTTCTGCTACCGCGCAGAAATCGTCGTTTTCGGTCCGACGGGACGTGCCCCTGCGATTTTGTTGCTTTCTTGTCTGTGACTTTGTTCTGCAGTTAATTCTCGCACGCATCCACTGAGAAAAACGATTCTTTCGTTTCCGTTAATGTGTGGCACCTTCGAACCTGTCGTAGACCGAGGAGATCGGAGCGAACACTCTGACGATGTTAGACCACCAAGGCGGTAAGCAGTCTCCCAGTAAACATCAATAAGTCACTGTCTTTCTCTCTCTTTGTCTCTCTATCTCTCTATTCTGCGAAGAACGAGCGAGCGATGCGATAGTTCGACGAGTACAAAACGTCGATATGAAAAAAAAAAAGAGGATTAACATGTAACAAGAAAAGAGGGGAAAAAAGCTGGCGCGAAGCGAAGAACGCCCTTCATTAGCTGTCAATTTGCGTTCCCCTTTGGGAAGAGCGTGCTTCTAATGCGTGATTCTGATTTACCGGAATCCTGATAAAGTCGTGCGAAATAAAGAATCGACTGTGAACGGTCGACCAGAAGATTCAGGAATATTTTAGGTTTTTATTCCGTAAGTAGAACGGAATATTAACGATATCTGCGATTGAAAAATACCTCATTTTTGCTTTCATTAACCCTTAAACGCCACATTACGGGAACAACACACTTGGACGTGGCAGACCCAACTCAATTGCTTATAACTTTCATAAAAATGAACGTTGTAAATAATTTTTTTCACTCGAAAGGCCAGACATTAAGGAATATAATAATACCAAGCAAATGCATGTATCTTTATTAATAAAAAATTATAAGCAATGGAAAAAGCAGTGGAAAAAAGTCAGATAAAGTAAACTTCCCAGACATATCCGGACATTTACATAAAAAAAACTTTGTATATTTGTTTATATTATTATTAACCTCAAGTGCTTTTTTAAACATAATATTATAATTTAATTGTGATCTTTAAATACAGTTAAATTATAATATTGTAACTGTACATGTCCGGTCACTGGGATGTATATCAAAAAGGTGTTTAAGGGGCTGCGATTAGTGCGATATTTACTTTTTTTATTTAATAATCTCTTGTGGAATATGTATATAGTTGTCTATAGTTGTGACTCGAATCAACATGATCAGTGCCTAAGTCGTGTACGGCCGATGCGAACCAACCGTGCAGTCGATTCTCTCCTTCGCTAAGAGTGACAATGACCCATTCGCTGTCATCCGGGCAGAGGTAACAAGTGAGACTGCCACGATGACGAGAACGGCCAGCGGATAGGTGAAAGATCGAACGACCGTGCCGTCATCGATGTCGAAACCATCTCAGCGACGTTGTCGCTTTTAGGCCTCCCACCTAGGTTTATTTAGGGCACCCGACGGAACTCCATTCGTTACCCCGATCTTGTCCCCCGATCCCTGACACCGTATCTCCAGTACCATATCTTTCAGCGGCATGATGCTCTATCGATGTCTACTGTGCGGGACACTCGTCGAGTGGAACCCGCTATCCTTTTACCTTTTTCTATACTTCTGCCTCTCTTTCTCTCTATCTTTCTTGCCTTCGCCACCTTCCTCTCTAGCTTTGCTCTGCTCTGGTGTCCATTTACTTCTACGAGGTGCGTCATCAGTCGACGGAATCGTTCGCACTCAGAAATTTGATATTCTTCGCTCGATAATATATCGAAGAGCATATCGAAGTTGGAAAAGCTTATTCCTTCGAATACAACGTTCGGAATTTATTTTGAAATATATGGAAATAAGCAATTTCACGTTCTTTATTAGAAGCTACTCGAAACGTGCTCGCTTGATCAGAATATCGTCAATTTAGAGTAATTTTCTGTACATACTTGATACATATGTAATTTTTTACGTACGTCATAAAGTTTACAAGCAACTCGTTTATTCGTATGTCACTAGGAATTCGAGTGTTCATTACATATGTATATGTAAATATGCAGATGTGAGTGCGAAAGATTATCAGCATCGAATTCATGAGATCATAATTCTCGTTACGGGAAAACCGCGTAGGTTTCATCCTACATTTTTAACACCTTTCATTCCTCACTCTCGAGTGTTTAAAATATCGCTCTCTTTCATGCGCGTTCTGTTCACCGAATTTTTCATTCATCCCCTGAAATTCGCGAGAAGAAAATAATTAGAGCGAAACCTACGGATTTTCTACCAGGCAATTACCAGGATCTCCCATCGAATAACTCATCCAGGAGCGTGAAGATCTGTACGTCGCCACCCAGTCGTACCTTTTAGATCTTAACTTAATTGCAATTAATTATACTTAGTATAAAATAATATCCTCGTCTCACTTCATCCAACCTTTCTGAAATTAAGAAAAAAAGTAATGCAGGGTGGACTCTCCTACGCGTTCCTTTTCATCATTCCGGTCTCCTCTTTCATTATCATCGTTGAACCTCATTTTGCCACATTGAACCTCATTGTGCCAGCATTTGTCGACAACTGTCAAGCGTCACGTCGTCATCCATCCTCGTCCATCCAACCTCCTGATTTGCATAATAAATTAATTAGCTGAGGCCGAAATTCGTCGTCCGCGCCCTCTCGCCCGCCGACATTCTCATCTCTATCTCTTTCTCCGTCTCATTTTCTTTCTGTCTCACGTCTCTCCCTCGTTTCTCCCCGCGTTTGGCACAGGCGAACATGGCGGGGGGAACCTTTTTTTTTCTTTGTTTGGGGGGGTGGCGTTGAGGATCGCCGCGGAGCGAGGCGAGGGAGCGTCCCGACGGCGATTAACTTTACCTCAATGTTTAACACGCCGCCTGATTGCCTGTCGGTTGCCTGTTTAGAGCCACGAGGTCGGGATGAAAACCCTCGTAATGCTGGACGAACAAGGCGGTAAGCCACTTCACTCTAGCCTCTAACACAAACAACTAGTTTTGCGCGAGAGGAAAGAGAAAATACGAAAGATACTCAGGCGTGCGCGGTCTTTACGACCGTCACGTCGGTTCCGACACTGGAAGCGACAACCGGCAATAAATATCAACAATATCAACATTTTACAGCGTGCATATATGTACCGATGCACCGTGGATAAGAATAGTACTCGCGATTTCGTCGCAAATTATTTCCCGATCTTTTTCGTCTTCATTGAAAAAAAAAATACTAAATTTTAATAAATATTTGTTTGAATAGTTCTGAGTAAATATTTACTAAATATAAACATATATTTAATTAATACAAAAACTATTATTTTGATTTAACTATATTTTTTGATTGAGTAAATATTCATTTACTGTAAGTATCTACTTGGTACTATTCTAAGAAATATGTATTAAGATTTAGTAATTATTTTTTCAGTGTTGTTACTAAAATACTTGAAAAACGTAAATGATACTAGATAATAATAGATTGGTCCCCTCGGTTTTTATATATTTATTCTTAAAACGCCTTACTTCTGTTTTTAATTGCGGGCGTTTTTAATTGCGGCGCAGATAGAGAATATCTTCTTATCCGCCGTGCAATTAAAATACGCGGCGATATCTCGCGAGCGTGGCAATTGCGAGTTCGTACAGTATCGCTAATAGACGGAAGTATCTAAAGATATACCAAAGTAACGCCAAGTAGCTCCATTTTAGACTTACTAATCATATCATATACCAACTCATACAGCACAGAATTTGTAATAATATCGCTGCAAAATCTCTGCAATATTGCTGTAACATGCAATGTTGCTACAAAATGTTACTGCAACTTTTGTGCAACTTTGTGCTGTAGGGGAACAATACTAAGCGCTTATTGTATCGTAACAATAAGCGCTTAGTATTATTCCCTTAAGCGTGATCTACAATAAGTTGCAAACACTCCGTCGCCAGTCGCAATGCTTCGCAACAGCCAATCGAAAACGTCAATAGTAACTAGTGATGCTTCTGATTGGCTGTCATGAAGCATTGCGACTGGCGACGGTGTGTTGGCAACTTATTGTAGACCACGCTTTACAGCACAAAGTTGCACAAAAGTTGCTGTAATGCTACTGCAACTTTTGTGCAACTTTGTGCCGTAGAGGAATAATACTAAGCGCTTATTGGATTACAGAGAATTAGGTCGAAAATGGCAGTCGAAATAGCCAGTAGGAAAATTGTCACATTTCGGCTTAGATAAAAAGAGGATTGCGCTACTTTGGTATATCTAATACCTAATTCAAACTGGACGCAGCAAATAGCGGAGCAGCAACCAGTCAGTGAGGCGATATTTACAGTAAAAAATATCACCTCGCTGGTTGGTTGCTGCTCCGCTGCTTGACGCTTGCTGCGTGCAGTCTGCACTAGGCATAAAGCTTTCATAAGTATCGTTTTCCTGCACACTCATCTCTCCGCGCCATTATGCATCTGCTCATGACCATCGCTCTGAAATATTGCCGCGTATTTCCGACACGTCCTGCATACAGATTGCCCCGGGAAAGGGGACCGGTAACAGGACTCCGATTCCGAGGCAGTTTGAAGTCGATTTCCCGTTTTCTGAAAATTTCACTTTTCACGCTCTAATTCGAGAAGCAACATTTCGTCATCCATTTTATATTGTCTATCTCATTCTCTAACTTCTATTTCTACTGATGATACAGCCATTAATCCTGAACGGAAGCACTCCAGTCTTTTCTTGGAAGTCCATTTTTTTCCTCTCGCAAAATTATCTGCAAGTGTTGTAACTGTAATGACGGAATAATTTAGATTAGATAGACGTCGGTGTAACAATCGGGGAAAATCGGACACGAATCTGCCGACGACAGAACGGGGCCCCGTTACTCGAGCACCCCTTTTCTCTAGGGATATAATAACACGCGACACTCACGCGTGCATCATCGAGACACATTGCTGTTTTACTTATCAATCAGGGGTGTAGCCGGTATCTTCGGGCTAGAGAAAGAAAATATTTCAGTGTAATCTCTCTCATATGAACTAAATATAACGTTGAATGAAATCTTGAAGAGGGAAGAATCCCTCTGTTTTACTCGGTTTTTACTTTATCGCTACACCCCTGTTATCAACAATGATATGTACTGTATATATTCTACCTAGTAGTACCTACTATATATTGCTCAGCAGCGCACTCAGACCATCGTTATACCGTTCACTTACATTTCGCTCAAGCGCGATGTTCTCCGTTTTTTCTTTTCCTTTTTTTTTCTTTTCGGCTAACTCTGACTTCCTCGCGCGCTTCTTTGGTTCTCTTCCGTCCTTCTTTCCGCCCCTCTTTCTTCGGCTTTTCTCGGGCTTCGCCACTGCTGTCTGCGTATACTACTTTCTCTTCCACACTGCATACTAATACTATCGTTACGATACTTACTTTCCGCCGTACCTCTTCGTATCTCCTTCGTCCTTCTTCCGGTTTCCTCAAATTATTAACCCTCGTTCCTCCCTTCCGCCTCTTCGAGATTTTTGCTCGAGCTCCCCGGGGTTTGCTGTGCGTCGCATGATTTTTGTACGTCGATACACATTCAAATCAGATATTTATTATAAATATCGAGTAGTGTATTTTATATATTTTGGGTACTTAGTGAGACAAGTCTCAGAAGTGAACTAAGATGACAAATAGAACATACTGTTGAAGAAAGTAGGAAAAAGGTGTACATTATAATGTAGATTATAAATATCAATTAAATAGTTAGACGAAGTCAGATAATTAATTCAGTTACAAATTTTATGTACGTATATGTATGTATGTTGAATCAGATTGAATTTTTACATTAACATGGAATTATACTTTAAGATGTCTAAGAAAATATTATTTTTAATTTTAATTTCAGTATTTATGAAAGGATCATTTCTTGCTATAATAAATTTTGTAAATTTTTTATACTCATAACAATTGTGTTGAACTCATTCTCGTAAATATGAGATAATTAATTGAATTTATGATAATGAAAGGTAATAAAATAACTGAATAAATTATTTAAATTTGATGATTGAAATAATTTATTAATCAATGTTGTTACATTCAGAATCTATGCCATATATTAATATTTCAGTACCCAATTAATTATACGTATTTAGGCAAAAAATGATACACTTTCGCGAACAAAAATCGTGCGACGCAAGCGCGGACCTTTACAAGAAACAGAGGAAAACAGAACAAGCGGACAACAGACGTGGTCGTGATGTTTCATGACACGCGTGTCACAGCATCCGCGTAGCATTTCTCAGTCAACACGACGCGTGTAATCGTTTTTACACACATTACTCGACGCATCTTAGCGGAGCGATTTCGCGGTTCTTCGCCTTCGCGATTTCCGTTCATCGTCGAGATAAAAGTCGGAGACAACACGACAATAAGACGCAAAGCGAACAGCCGCGAATCCGGCATCCGCTTCTTAGCCGAACGTGTACCGTTATCAGTTAAATCGGACACCCACTATACTCGTGTTACAAGGATATCGCTTACACATATTGTATTGTTAGTCTAGAATGAGTATATACTCCTACGCGCGTCTATATATAGAACTGTCTTTTAGGTAAACTTGTGTCCACTGTATAACGTAGTCAAATTCGTGGGCACTACAGGGTGTCCCAAAACTCTTCTTATTAATCGTTTAACTGATTTTAATTGATTATTTATAATTATGTACTCGTTCTTAATTTCTTGGAGAATAATCTATGATAAATTAAATTATGATAAATTTTATTTTATTCGCTTTTGTTTTCAAATTAAATTATGACAGGGCTGGATCGTATGTGCTCCGAAAATAAATTTTACGTAAAGTTTATTATAAATAAATTTCAATTTGAAGATTATGGAAATGTATGATTATTGAAATTAAATTTCATTTGTTATTTAAATATTTTTACGAAATAGTGAAGCAATGGCTTTGTCACAATAACCGAAGTACAAATTGCATTCCCGAGTTATTGTGGTATTTCATCTGAAATTCTGTAACAGTTGCGAGTTAGTGTTCGAAATTGGATGCTCTAGATTTCGCTTAATTTTCATGGACCCCGTTTGATCAATGCGCAGTTATAGGTAAGAGCTTTCGGGACACCCTGTACACTTAGTTGAAAGTTTCACCATCCACCAAGTGAGGAAGCAACTTACTGCACATATTCTCTAAGCACATAACAGAGCAACTCGCCCGATGCAGGAACGTCGAGCAAGGAAACTCTTCGCTTAACTGCAATTCGCGCTTTCGTTGCACTTTACTTTGTGCAGAGTTCGGGGGCTCTATCGAGCGGATGTTTTCTCTCTCACGAACAATCCTTTATCCCAGCTGATGGCACTCAGGGAACGTTGCGCTCTTCGTGTCTTTTGTATCGAGAAGAAAGATTGATGTAAAATATTATAAGAAGGAATATTTTGTTCAAATTCCTCGGGAGTCATCCTTTTTTATTTTATAACAATAAGAAATTCCTACATACTTTTTCGCTATGAAATATCCTTTAATCATGTAATTCGATAGATACCGATTTTTTTTCTCTATATTTCTGTACTTTTTACGATTATGAAATTTCACGAGCACACTTCTTGTAACGTAAAATGAAATGTATGATCAATTCTATCCATTCTTTTAAATGTTCACACACATATATATATTTGTCTTTTGATACATAATCTGAGCTTTTAAACGAATGACTCACCATTAATTCGTTGATCGAAGATAATAGATTCTATTAATATATCATCGACCTCCGCTCGATTGATCTCCCGTTTAGAATACGAAATTGAACGCAATCGCTTGAATGACGAAGGAAAGGGGCACCTGTGCTCTTGCAAACAAACGCATGAAACCATGAAATCCCGAGAATAATCGAACTCGGAAATGCTTATTAAATTTTCATTTAGAGATGCGAAATTTTCACTTCTTATTAAGTTTGTAATACGTAAGAAATGAGATGAGGAGCAAGTAGAAATTCGGAAGATTACAAAAGGGGCGCTTCCTTCCTTCGGGCGAGGGTTCTAAGCGAACCCGCTTATCTCGAGAAGATTAAATTAGATAGCGAAAGAGGATTGGGCAATGTACCCGCGCTTTCGTTTGCCCCTTTAGCCGATGACCGCTTGATTACATTAGGCTGTTTATGTTCGCGATAAAGATTCCCATAAGTTATGAGCTAGCTTGAAGCTGTATACTTTAACTCTTGGCGGCGGCTTTTATTCCGTAATCATCTTTATTTTAAAATAAATATATTTATATATTTATTCATGTATTTATTTTAATGGAAAGATATAAATCAAATCCTAGAAATTAACATTGCAATAGAAATTAATCTTAAAAAAATGAATACGTTAATCTAATAAAAGATCTCTAATAATAAAATTAAGACGAATACAAAACTTTGAAAAATCAAAATTTTTAAGCAAAATGAGGTTAAAATCGAAACCTGCACCGCGAAGGGTTAAAGATTCTTTTTTCTTATTTTACAGAAGCTTGATTATATCACGTAGAATACTTTTTTGCCAATAGAAGAGTGTCGCAGATACTCTCCAAGTCAGATTTAGTTCGCGCTTTTGTAGAACGTTCGCTATGGCTTCTAATTAGAAGTAACGATCTTTCTCGCGTGGTTGCCCTTTCCCCTTCGTGTCTTCACGAGCGAGAATCGTCTTATCGTCAACTAACGTTACATTCCTGTGAAAAAACAGAACAGCTGGACCGAATTGAGGAGGGCATGGACCAGATTAACGCCGACATGAGAGAGGCCGAGAAGAATCTCACTGGAATGGAGAAGTGCTGCGGTCTTTGTGTTCTTCCCTGTAACAAGTACGACACAACTATTTTAGCGTATCTTACCTCTCTCTTTTATGTACTATTGCTCTTCTTCCTTAAAAAAAAATTGAAAAGAATTCTCTGCATATTTAATCGTCTCTGAAGTCTATCTATATTAATAAGTTGCATGATGAGACTTTACGAGCGTTGAGAAATAAATTTAACATCTCCATATTTAAGAAATTATTTTAAAAGTTGAATAATTGAAGACATGTTGATTAATTAAGGAGAATATTAAGAAATTACTTTAATTTATATGGAAAGTCAATACTACGATGGACTGCATAAAAATTATACAATATTATAATTGAATTTTCACGAAGATTCTAACTGAAATTGATATATTGAAAAGAAGCCATTTAATACAATATTTCAAAATGAATAACTTATCTATCTACAGCAATTTAGAGGCAATTTAAAGTTTAAAGGCAATTTAAAGTTTTGAAGTGCAAATTATAAAGTAGCGGAAATCTACAAAATTAGCAAAATTACTTTTATTGAACGTGACTTCTCAAGATCGACTTTCAAATTGATGTTTACTGTTGTCTGCTGAATGTTAGTCTTTTCTTCTTCCGAAACCGACTTAATTGCGTCGCTCGCGCGACAATTTTGCGCGTACAGAGGTGCCAGCTTCAAGGAAGACGAAGGTACGTGGAAGGGCAACGACGATGGTAAAGTTGTGAACAACCAGCCGCAACGGGTGATGGATGACCGCAACGGTATCGGGCCGCAGAGTGGCTACATCGCCAAGATCACAAATGACGCGCGCGAAACGGAGATGGAGGAGAACATGGGCCAGGTGAACACGATGATTGGCAACCTGAGGAACATGGCGATCGACATGGGCAGCGAGCTCGAGAATCAGAATCGGCAGATCGACAGGATCAACCGCAAGGTGAGTTGGCAGCGAGTAATGGCGAGTGAATGCGCACCACCGGCGTCCAAACGCTGCACCGCAGTCGTCGCGCGACTTGGCATGGCTCTAAAGAAACCACTCGAACGGCAATCCGCGTTCGTCTTACTCGTCGACATACATATCGCGAGCATTGATCGAGAAAACGGAGCATCTTGGACAAATCTTGGACTTGGAGCAAGAATAGAGCGTCTAAAGCTTGGAGTTTCTACATTTGTCTACTGCACTCTTCTTCTAAGTTCTTACACGGAAAAAATGGTTTTGCTGAAGTATCTAAAAATTTAGCTAAATCTGTAAACGTGAAAATAATTTTGTTGGACAAGGTAATTTTATACAATATACAATATAAAACGCTTAAACTGCTAGAATATCGAAACCTTTTGTAGCATTGCTCATCTTGTTTGAGTTTTCTACATAATTATTTTGATAGATTTACAAAATTATTTTCAAATCTGTATCTGAATTTTTAGATACTCCAGAAAACTTTTTTTTTGCAATTAATAAAGATTAGCAGATTGTTTCATATAAAAGATTCTTGAAAGATTTGTAGTTAAGATTGAAAAATGGACGATGGATTTTCTTGATTAGCTACGCTATTGTCGTTTGACACGGAAGGCTTAATGTGTTTTTTTAATTCACAAACCAATTTCGTTTTTAGATTAATGATGTACTCTTTATATTTAAGACGCTTTATGTCACCAAGGTTGTAGGGCTATCATTAAGATTGTAGGTTGGTAAACTTTAAAGTATCAAGTGATAGCCTTCGAGACGTAATCCAGTATGTCGATGAGATTACTGAAGTCCAATGCACACTGCGAACAGTGTTATCAACAAATATCGAACTAATCGCGAATTATTTTGAGAAATTTTAATTAAAATAATTTGGAAAATTGAAAAATTGAAAATCCGAAAGTTTTAAATACAAATCTAAAAGTTTGAAAACTAGCACTTAGAATTCCATGAATTTTATTAGTCAAAAGTATATATTCTACACTTTCAGTTAACCTAAATTTTTTAATTGAATTCATAAATTCTTCAAATCTATTAATTTAAAATGTGAACTGATTATTAATTAGATTGAATCTTTAGTTAAATCGTGGACGTTGAATTTTTTGTAAAAAAACATTAATTCACAATTTAATATTTAATTTGTATTTGTTTGAATTCGTAATGTGTGTTTATAATGGATGTGCACGAAAGATAAATTTAATTAGATACAATTAATGCCACGATCTAAAAGATGATTGGTGCAACTTCACTATTTGCACGTGTGTATTAGACTACTGTAGGATGAGCTGACACGTGTCTCAATATAGATATGCGCGAATTTATATGTCACAATGCACAGGCTCAGAGCGATGCACATCACGTTCGTCGTCGCTTTCGCTTTCTTGTGTGTCTTTCCTTCCTTCCTTCCTTCCTTCCTTCCTTGCTTCTTTCCTTCCTTCATCCTGTTCTCCCTATTTTTATATCTCACATAATCCCAATCCGGGCAGGTGTCCCGACGACGTCTGTCGTCACTTTTTGCGTCTTTTTCTCTAAAGACAAGAATGTCTAAAAAGCAACGTAATATGCACTATGTCTAAGCCTTCAGATTTACTCAACGCAATTTTCGATAGCGCAATTTTAATCTGAAACAACATACAAATATCTTAAATATATGAGTAACGAATAATCAATTTAAAAGAAAACGTAAAGAAAGCTAGATTTGTTCTTTAAATAAGAGATTTAATTATATATATATATATTCGTAAAGAAATTTTATTATTAATCCTCCACAATATGAATTTTAACTCTTTGATTAGTAATAGGAATTTTCGAGGAACAGAGCAAATTTTTTATTTTACTGGATTATATAAAAATTTGAAAAAATTTTGCTATATAAATTAATTGAGAAGCAATTGGGAGCAAAAAAGACGCAGTTATAATATTAGAGCGTTACGGTTAACAAATATATTTCTTAGAGACCTTACATATGATTTGACAAAATCGGACGTGGGAATTGAAGAGGCTTTCTCGGCTGCTCTCTTGGACCTAATTATTGTGAACTACTTTTAAATTTACTATTTGAACATCGCTGAGAATGGCTCGAACTGAGCCGAAACGTCCGATTTTTGTCAAATCATATGTAAGGTCTCTAAGAAATATATTTATTAACTATAACGCTCTAATATAACTGCATCTTTTTGCTTTCAATTGCCTGTCAATTAATTTATATTTATTTGTTATCTCGAGAGCTTAATTTTATTTTATGTATACATTCTGGTATACTTGTCAAAGCTTTAATAACGAGCTTTTAGCATTATAGAATTCGGATCGTATTTTACTTATTTCTTACAGATTTATATTTATCTACCAAAATTTGCAATCTAAATATCGATGGTACCTTCAAAGATTTCGGTAAAGAGTTAATTATATCGAGTTTTATGTAGGAGGCACAGAGATCGAGTAATGAATTTATGATATTCTTAATTGACGAGACCGAAATAAACGCCTTTGCTCTTTTGGATTAAAATTCTAATATAATCGAAATTGCGATTTGTAAAAAGGCAATTTCAAGATTGATTCTAGATTATTCTCCGTGAAATTCCAATAAACTCGAAATTGCATGCTCACGCACGTGCATCGCACAATATTAGTCGCCACGATACCCGCCCCCACGTCTTAAATATCGCGCCCTTATTCCACGGCTCCTCGCTGAAATTCTCCGGGCACTCTCCGCCTTACTCATCGTCGATCATCCCTTCAGCACAGCCTGCCTTCGGTGTTCTTGTACGTAATTACTGCACCATCCAGACTTCAGATTTATCTGTCCTTCTCTTTTTATTCTTTCTCTTTCTATCTCTTTTTCATGAAAATCTTTATCATGGGACTATGATATTTTTCAACACGTTGTAAAATATATATCGCTAACAAATCGAAATAAAAAGTTTTTTATTTTGCGAGTCTTTTATTTGACTCAAAAATAGATAAGAGAAAAATGTTTAATTTTATTTTATTTGTCCAAGAACAAATTGGCACAATTAAATCTTTTTAATCGTTTAATTAGATATTTTTTAAATTAAAATAATTTATATTATAAAATATTTACGTTAGAGAAATAAACTAGTTTGTGCAAATAAATAAGCAAAATATAAGACATAAATAAGCATAAATAAGACAATTTTTTTAATATTCTTTTTTTCTTAAATAAGAATAGTTGAGAATTTGTGACCAGTTATGTCTAAATTTTTATTATCATAGTCCCTTTTAGTAGACCCTTGACAAAAGGAGACAGAATTATCTGACCGTAAAAAGGTTCTCGAACGAACAATACGTATTTATAACTTACGGTGACTATATTCAATAATTATCTGTCATTACCTACTATAACACGCTGCTATTGAACTTGCGATCGATCTTGTCATATGACTCATATTTACCGCATATGATATCTTGCAACGTTTAACATTAACCCGAATTAAACGCGCTATCAATAATCGATATTCGGATATATCAACATTTTCCCTTCAACCTTCGGTATTTATTCAGACTAAATTTATCATCGAGTTATTTCTTTCGCTTTCTTACTTTTTTTTCTTCTTATTAACAGCTCTACGCTATCTTTTCTTTTCTTTAATTCTAAGATTTCTCTCTTTCTATTAACATTCTTTCTTCAATCACATTGTAGACGACGAGTATTGATCGTTTGAGGATCTTTGACCCTTTAAAGGCCATGCGTTTTAAAGTATAAATGTAATTCTAAAAATTTATTAATTTTTTATCTCTTGTTTGTAATCCACATTATTCATGTTAATTTCGAAACCTCATTCGAAGAAGGATATGGTCTTTAACGGGATATCATAGTGGTGTACAATCTCGAACAGTTCGTGATTAATTAATAGAAGATTTATAGACAAGTCGGACGGCAAACAAGCGAGAGAGATCCAATCGAGTATTAACTTTTCATGATTGGCATCGGAATCCGATTGATTCGTTTTAAATATAATTCATACAACCTGTACACGATGTATATAACATTAGTTATCGATCGTATCGCTGTATAGCGACCAGCTGACGATTTTTCGCAAGCGACAAGCACGGCAAAGCTTGTTACGGTCCAGTACGGTCGAGTAGGGTATAGACACAGTATCGAGGGGATTGCGAAACCGCAAGACTTGAGCTAACACCACGAGAGATTGTGCACCACTCGCCGGTGAATTTAAGCCGCACAATCATACGCTCACACCACACACACCTCTGTGACCGAAACCCAAACTGATAATCCGCAGGGCGAGTCAAATGAAACGAGGATAGCCGTGGCGAACCAACGTGCGCACGCCCTGCTCAAGTAAAATGCGTCTTCTCTCTGTCTCCACGTGTCCGCCTCCTCCGAGCCCCAAGTTGCATATCACCGAGACGTCGTCTCGAGCAAAAAAAGAAAAGAAATGGAGATTATACGCGTGTACTTGTGTGTATTATACATGTAGAGAAGCCTGATCACATCATCTCGGGGCTGGGATTATTCGGGCGTGAGTAAAGTCGTAATCACACCAAATTGCCGATTGTGGTATGGCATAATATAATAGTTTATTTACTGATTCCTCTGAAGGCCATGGCACACAAAGAACTTAAGGCAGTAAGACGTAAGCAGTAAGAAAATCAACATGTTAGATTGGCTACTGCTTACGTTATGGCCTTATGCTGATTCTACAATGAGTCGGTAATCGATAGTCATAAGTCTTATCAGTGAAGTTGACCAATAGTCAACTTGTATGACTAACGTTGATTGGCCAACTTCACCGATTGAGACTAAGGTTTTCTACAGACTCATTGTAGAATCAGCGTAACGGATTCTACCATGATTGATCAATTCGCTCCCTGCTTACGTTTTATTGCTTAAGTTTTTTGTGTGCTATGGCTCTTAGGGTTACGAAAAAAAGAAACAAGTTCTCTCAAAAAAAGAATCCGCACAATATTCCACAATACAATTAAAAAATAAAAAAGTATACATGACTTAGATCGGGATTGTGATTGACGATTACTTTTTAACCAGTCAGAACAAAGCAATCATCAATTGCTTTGCTCCGATTGGTTGAAAAGTAATCGCCAATCACAATTGCAATCCAATTGGCAATCGGTAGTATAATTACGGTAGATGTTAAGTGCTACATTACAAAATCCACGCGCTTAGGTATCAGTTACCGGATTACTTGAGTGTTGATTTGTCAAATAGGTTAATGCATAGTGACATTGTATACGCGCGCAAATATTAAGCGATTACCGGGAGTTATATCGCCATACGTTTGAATATAATACTTAATTTATTGGAATGGTTGGGGATGCGATAATATTGCAATTGGCTCATACTTAATCGCTGAAATGTTGGAATATCAAATTATTCGAATACTCCCAGCTCTACGAACGAGTCTCCCGTCTGTCCCCCGTTCTCCCTTTGCTGTTTTCTCGACGTCGCCCGGGCACCAACCCGATTCCGCTTGCAACCTGTGCAACAACGGAAAACTACCACCACCAAATAACTATCACTTCTACTACTTCTATCACCACTACCAAGCTTTCCGTCGATATACGACGATATACAGTGAACAACCGCTCGATAGTCGCGGTACACGAAAGAGCTTCTTGGTAAGAATGGCCAATCTAGTATTTGCACAGCCGGATTGAGCGAGGAATATAATCTTGCCCAGTACTCTCGAAGTTTGTAAACTCGCGAAAAATCTTTGTTGTCTTTCACGAATAAAAAGCTACGAGTGTCTCGGTGTTCTTTTTTGTTGAGAGAAGGATCGATTCCAGATACGTCGAAAAAAATTTGCTAAATTGCACCTCGTATACTTAAGCTTCCTCGAATGTGTCACGCTGAGGTGACGAGGGTGACACATTGAGGAATGATGTCCCGCCTGTTAATCACCGACGTTAATTAATGAATCTGGAATTATCAGAAAGGATTTGTTTTTTGTTGATTAATAATGTAATTATCAATTGAAGAGCTTCTATAAAAACGGAGTGAGAGAGAATGAATTCTAAAATTAAAGTGATGGGAAACAGTGAGTTAACCGGATCTCAATTTTGGTTTCTTACACAATTAATATAAAAAAATACGGAACTCTTTTTCATTTCTATAAGAACTGTAGAACTATGAAAAAAATGATACTGGAATTGTCATTATTTTTTTATATTAAATCCCAATTTGGGTTTCTTACAATTAGTATAAAAGATACGGAAATCTTTTTCATTTTTATAAGAACTGTAAAACTATGAAAAAAATGATAACTGGAACTGTCATTATTTTTTTTATATTAAATGGAATGTGCTAACTTCACAGATATCCCATTTTCGGAGATCCATTAGATTTGTCAACTCACTGTGGCAATAAGCTAATTGCTTTTTAATTTTTTTCATTATGATCTAATATTCATAAATTCCATTCTTTAAAGATATTTCTGGACGATTCGTGAATTGTGTATCGATGGAAATTTTATTTCGGCCAACAGAAGCGCGGTGTACCGCAGCTACCGCGAGCGGTAAAAGCATCGCACTGGGATGTGTCATCGCTCCCTGTACACACGTTGTTACAAGGTCCATCACACGTACTGTCACTCTCGTTGTGATTGTGTCACGAACGGACGTCGCCGTCGACGACGGCAACGGAATGCCTCTCGTTGATCCCTTTGAACCCCGTGTCAGAACCGCACCGTTCTCGACCTCTTTCGCTCCAATGCTCCTCGGGGTCGATCGGGTTAACACGCTTGACACGTGGCGGAAGAGCAGCATGCGAATTTCATCTTTCCCGGTGGTTCGCGTGGATTTCGCCGATATGTCAGGATCGTATCGACTATTAGCCCTGCACGATGTACGCAGAGAATGAGCTTCGGGATTCTTGGAGAATTTTCTGCGTAGCTTTTGGCACATAGAATCTTTCGTAGAAATTCTATAACCGAGTCTGATCACAAGTGATTTTGTCAAAATTTTTATTTGTATTAAAAATGACCCATTCACATCTCTGTTAAAATTTTATGTTGAATTGTTAACATATTCAAATGTTAATTTAACGTTATGTGATTTAACGTAATGTAATTATGTTTTTGTCTGTTTTAAATTGATATTTAACATTTCTTAGTTAGTGTCAAAATAACAATTTATAAATGAATAAATAATATAAAAATAATGTACTTTAAAATGTAAATTCCGTGAATAAAATAAGATTTAATTTAACATGTTATAAATGTTAATTTTACTAAAAAAAAAAATGCTTCTACAATTTGCTTAGAAACTATGTCAGTATTTTTGTGTTAATTTATTTACATGATATATATGTATATATTACTTGTATTACACATTCATTTCGTATTAAATTAACGCAATTTGAGTGGACCGTTTGGGACATATGAAACGGGTTAAATTTAACGCAAATTTTCCGACTGTGTAACGTTTTACTGTATGTATACTATCTTACTTTAATTTATGCTATCTCATTTTATAATCTTAATTAAGGTTAAAGTGTAATAGTATAAGTTAGAGCGAAACAGTCTGCATACAGAGAGACATTATATATATACACCTTTCTCTCCCGTAAAATTTTGATAAGATCTCTCGTGGTTAGACTCTGTTATAGGGTCTCTAGTCCTGTGTGTGGGTACATTCAAATTCCCATCTGAGAGCTCCCCAGGTTCATGTTGTCCTTGTTTAACATTCATGTAAACAACAAGGATAAAATAATACCCGAATGGCACTTAAGTGGGAATCTAAATATAAATTGAAAAAAAATGTTTGGTTGAAACTGAACAAACCACAAGATTCTAACTAAATCAAAATTATCTCTGGTTTGTTCATCTTCAACCAAATATTTTCCTCAGTATAGCCTTATCGCGAATTAAGGAAAAGAGATTGTCGCGAAACTTATTGCTTATTTAAAGTAAAACAAAAAATAAATCTCGCTATAATGATTATCTGACGTTATCCACGAAGACTTTTGTTGGAAAAATAGAAAAATGCCGAGTCAATTTATAAATTGGAATCTGCGGCCAAAATGGAACAATCTATTCTTGGCGAACGCGTCTTGCTGTCGCAGCGAAACCAACACTGCTTCGATGATGGAACGGGAATCGATCTGTTATGGCGAAACAATCCGCGAATTCAGCGAAACAATTTTCGAATTAGATTCTTCTTAATCAAGCTATTTCACTTGTTTACGGTATATAACATTGACGAAATTCTCTGCGACAGCACGAAAACATTCCGCGCTAAATTGACGTTCCCGCAATCAATACTTGTTTCATCCTATAATACGAAAGCGCGTCGACGTTACAAGCGAAATGTTCCAAGAATCTTTTAAGCAGTCCTTAGGCAATCAGTATTATTGCTCAATAATTAATATTATACAATACTATTAGTAAAATATATTGAACTTCCAGACTACTGGTTTTGAATTGTTTAAAATATTGTATCAATAATATTGCACAAAATAATTGTACAATAAAGAGTGCAGTCCTTTTGATGTTACAAATGCTTCGATCTCTCATTTGTAAGATCAAGTAAATTGTAGCCGATATTGAGCGTCTAGGGACCGCTTTAGCTCCTGCGGCCACCTCGTAAAAAAATTTTTATTCATAATCATAAACAATCAGAATCAAAAATACGAACGTTTAGAATACGCGATTGTTGGTCGGTACACTGAAAAAAATTTATTAAATTTTAATATTTCTTTGAATAGAATACTAAGTAAACATCTATTTACAGTACATAAATATTTATCCAATAAGAAATGATAGATAAATCAAATTAATGGCTTTTGTATCAAATAAATATATATATGTTTAACATTTAGTAAAATATTTACTTAGAAATACTCAAACAAATATTTATTAAAATGAAGTTTTTTTTTCAGTGTATGCTTACGGTCTTACGATTACGACAAAAATTTTTTGACGTGTGATGGTCTTAAGGTCCCCAGAAGAAAAAAAAGTCACATTCCGCAGAGTTGAGAAACTTCGAGCGGTTCCGATCCCCCCGGAAGCCTCGATTCGCACCGTCGGTCCTCGACGTCCGCAGCTCGCGCATACGACATTGCGTTCTTGTTTTTTCTTGTTCTTTGACACGCAGGGCGAATCGAACGAGACGAGGATACAGGTGGCCAACGAGCGAGCCCATCAGCTACTCAAGTAAAGCGGCCACATTCTCTGTCGACCATCCGCACCCCGTCGGCCGCCCACGAGCGTCACTACCATCACCCTCCACCAACAACAACAACCACACAACAGCAACAACATCAACACCAACAACAGTCAGTACAATTACACTCGACAGTCCACTCGATCGTTTTGCTCGCGATTTATCGCGTTTCGTTTGTTAGAACGTTGTTTCTCTGTTCATGTTTACCGATACCTTTCGAGTTTGGTATCGTCGAAACATGATATAATATACTTAATGAAAATACTTAACCCTAAACTTGACTGATAGAGTCCGTAAAGTTATTAGAATTTTGTAATATTCTTTTTCGTTCGAAGTAAGGGAACTGTGTGAATCGCATCGCCATAAGCGTCTAAAAATTATTGCAAAGATACGTAAAGAGGACTTGCGACCTCCTAATGTCGTCTTTCGAACATTTAACGCAGTTTCTCTTCTAAAACATCGTAGATATTAAATTAGAACACGCTCCGCGAACGATGCGGCCGATGAAATCGACGAGAAAGAAAAATAAACGCTTAATTTGTTGTACTGGTGAGTATCTGCTGCATTTCCTTCGTAATCTTGGATTTTCACTTCTTTAGCTTTTGCAAGTTTAGGGTTAATATACGCCGAAATAGATTCATATATTACAGATTCGGAGATTGAGTTTGATTTTCGGCTTGACTTTAGCGTGTAAGATAGATTTCTGATTTAGCGTCAAAAACATCCTATCTAATTTATTATCGAACTTCAACTTCGTTAGTCCCTGTTCTGCAACCGTAAATTAGATTTAATCTCCGAGACGAGGCTTTTTTGTCTTTACAATAATGGCAATAATCCGCCGACGAAGAGCTTCGATGATTCGAGGTGTCAGTGCCGCTAATCGGTCATCAAAGCTGGATTAAAAACGGATCTGTAACTTAAGATTGTCGGAGTAATCTCATACCGAATCACAACGAAGAAGCCGATGGAATTTTTTTCTAGCGTGGCAAAAGCGTCGAATTTGTCGCGTAGTTAAAAAAAAACGGAGCTGAAATTCAATCTCCGGTTCGGGAACGAGTATAGCTTCGTTCTCTTTGCCGGCAGAGTTAGCGTGTTGAACGATATTGGAACTTAAATAAACAAATAATAATACATGTATATTATATATATATATATACGATTAATTCAATTCTCTCGGTTTAATCGACTCTAGAGAGTCGGGATTTGTATTGGAAACGCAAGAAACGAATGGAGAAAAAAAAAGAGGAAGGAACATGATAATAGTACAAAAATTACTACACTTATCTCCCGTTAGGAACAAAGATTTCGAGTACAATTTATTTATTTGTCTTATCATGTATTGCCGCTCTCCGCGATTATAACTTGCGCTTGAAGATCACACTCGGAACGTGTCACTGATATTGTCTACAAGCGAAAGAAGGAACACACTAATCTCCCTCTCCCTCGAGTTTCCCCCGAAACGCAGGGGGTGGACCTCGTTGTTTCCCCCCCCCCCTGATCGACAAATGCGCATTCCCGAGGTCGGTATCGAATAATTTCGCGAGCGTTTCGCAAATTTCGACGGGTGTTCGCGTGCAAAAAATACGCGGAGAGATCGCGGCGACACACTTGGAGGAGGAAGGGAGTGGAATCGCGAGCGTGAAGGACGAGGGAGCAGAACGAGGTGGAAGAAGAGCAAGGATAAATAGAAGAAGAAGAGGAGGAGGACTCACATGGCGAGATAACCGAAGCAACGAAGAGAACGCGTTCAGCCATACGATTATTAGGAGTCAGCTGAAGCTGTAGATAGAGCGAGGTCTTCTTTCGTCGTTTAAAAATAAAAAAAAAAGCTCGACTCGCACTCGACAACGTAGAACATAGGTGTTACTCTCCCTTGCCCCCCTGTCCAGTCCAGCTCACCCCGCCCTGTCCCCCTAATTCTCCCCTTTTGCGCCAATCGCGCCGAGATCACAGTAAGGTTTAACTCCAAAGAAAGATTGTACATTACTGTATTTACACGAGGGCGATCTAGGTACCTACCTTGTTAAATTGTACGATGAGGAGTCGGTAGAGAAGCATGACGCGGCTCGAGAATCGATATCCGTCGGTGATTCTGGGACGACCATCGTGATCCTGGGGGTGAATCTCTTCGTGACCTTATTGTATAAAACAGCGAGATAGCGAGAGAAGTCCTTGCGTATAGTGAATTTCTTAGACAATTTTTAAGGGGTGTACAGCACAAGTCGTAGTATATTCATCAACGATTTTGTAAATTGCTAGTCCACCAATTTCGCCACGAATTACGAGATCTGAAAATCATCGAAGTCCTCGCATCCATTGCGACCTCTTGTCCTTTCTAGCGCGCTGCACTTTTCGAAGTGTCGAGAGAACTGATTGATTTACAGTTTCGAGGTAGGAGTTAATTGACGCTGTGGTGACACCTCGTTTCCGAATCGCGGAAGAAAGGGCATTTTCGGATAAAATAGCCAACGGGTGTCGGTCTCGAGCGGCGCGGTCACGGACCGAGCACAAATAACTGCGTAGCCTTTTCGATTTCGCTTGTCCTTTGCTTTCTCTCGGAGAGGGAAATAAAACGCCCTTCGGACACTTCGCCGGACGAACTACAAGAGGAATGAAAGGGTTTGTAGAGTTTGTACGAATTTTAAGAATGAGAGAAAGAGAGAGAGAGAGAGAGATGAAGAACGAAAAAGTAAAAGTGCGTGTGAGAGTGAGAGAGAGAGAGATTGTGCGACGCGAGATCATTAGGCCTATAGTGATCACTTAGGTCGAGAGAGATTTTAAATAATTATAAATAGATGTGGGTGCGTGATGTATGTACTCGATCTAACTCATCTCTATCGCACTGTTCTTTAACGATGGATCCTTCGATCAGTCTGAAGACAACTCTTTCTCAACGAAGATGTTCGAGTCACCGATAACTTTCGAAAGACGTATAATATTGGCAGTTGAAAAGTTGCCGATAAAGTTTTTTGATTGAGGAGAAAACCGACTCTATATAGATCGATCGGGAAATCCAATGCTAAATTAAATGCAACGTGGCAGACATGGGACGGTCGGTGTGCATACATCACTTACTTGCATATATAAATATATATATATATACATACATTTATGCATATGTATACATAGCCGTGTAAGGAGCGAACGCGGTGAACCTTTCTTAAATAGCTCCAGGTAGAAGAGAGTCGAGAGTTGCGAGAGAAGACTATTTGAAATGAACGAGCGAGCGAGCGAGCGAGAGAGAGAGAGAGAGAGAGAGAGAGAGAGAGAGAGAGAGAGAGAGAGAGAGAGAG